AAGAATTTGACACTGTTGTACATTAAGGTGGTCACTGTTGCATTAAAAACAGAAAATCAAACAGTGAAAAGGTGAATATAGCTTTGGATTTGAATTGCCCTAAATGCAAAATACAAGGGTATAATAGAATATTTTTAAACTAGAGGTCAAAATAAAAAATCCTAGCAAACACAAAGACAAAAGTGATACTTCTTTTCAATAATAAAACAGGAACAATTTTTAAGCTGAAATGAAGTTTCCAGTTCAAAATAAATTTGGAAACAGTGACATCAGAAGATAAATTATTAAAAAACAGAAATGGAAAAATGAAAAACAAAAAAACAGATCGCAGGATATGGTACCTCCAGCTTTAACGATATCAACAAGATCGTCCTTTAAAATGACAGGGATTGAACGAGGAATTGCCCCAACACCCAATACATGTGTACTCTCCTGGATTTTGATTTCCTGATAATCATGGCATGTAATAGAACCTTCCAAATGCGTGAACTTGTTGCCTTCACAGGGCTTAGACCTCTGTCATCAGAAAAACAGATCAGATGTCAAACTCTAAAAGCATACTTATATCAAAGAGACTGACTCTTAAAATATTTCCAATCAATTAAGTGAGATAAAATACAAAGTCTCCTCCTTCAACAAATGCTAATCCAAACAGTGTCAAAGCCCACACTATACCACTTGAGCTAAAGCACAAGAATAAATACAGTAAGCTACAAGAATTCTATATCACCAAAATCAATTATCTAGATGACTGTTAATCTATTAAAGTAAAATCTAATATCTTTCATATGTATTCAGCATGACCTCATTTGATAGTTTCTAGTGCTAACTACTTCTTCAAAGTAGTCTCTGGACTTTCATGATAATAAATATCAAATGACATTGTTAAACAATCTGAATTGGATTACCTGAGAAGGACAATATGATGGTAGTTTTATGGAGTTTCTCGATTCCAGTTCGGGATAAACCAGGAATCTGCAGACAAACATAGTAATTCAACATAAAAAGGATTTTATACCAACATAAATAGGCATAATATGAACAGGTGTATGTGTTCTCATATATTTTCCCAGTAAATCAGGTAATAAAGAATTTCATCTCGACATAAAAGAACCAATATACCACATGAATTCACAAAACAAGATTATAGTTATTACTCTATTTTATTCTGATATCATTTGGAAACAAAAAATGGTGAACAGATGCAAAATTTATATTTGACAATCCGTAGTGTATTTTTAAAAAGTTATAGTACAATAGCAATGCCTTATTAAGGCCCGAATTCTTTGTGCTAGTCAAGAATTCTTAAGCACAAAATCTCAAATATCATCCACAAGCACAGATGGCGAGTAAAAGTTTGGGTGAAATAAAAAAAACTCACTCGTGCTTGCATTTCTGACACATATACTTCCTCTCTCCTTCATACATCTTGATTGCTCCAGACCGAATCACCGTCCCTTTAAGGGTGAGCAGAATCCCTCTATGCTTAACTCTCACACGGCCAATGCTCGGAAAGGTCTCTACTTTTACACACCCAAATATAGACATCAACCAACTATTTATGACAAAACTACGATAATCAGTTGAAAGAAATGGCTACAAATAAATATAGTGATCTTAAATAGAAACAAACCAGGGCATTCGAGCGGCGAACCACTGATATCAATCCGGACATGAATGAATTCCTTCTTTATCCCTTTATCAAAACCATCCAAATCCCTCAGTGTGACTTTCTACACACAATGCCACATAAGCCACATCAAATTCCACCATCCCATCAAGTTTTGTTCAATAAATTAAGCTTTTAAACACAAAATTTACACACATACATGAGCCCAAAGAGCGGCCTCATCGAAAAAGCGCAAGTACTCAATGGGTTGAGAGAAAACGAGATGCGAAAGCGGAGGATCGGCATCCATAAGCTCTGCAAAACTAAGAAAGAAAGCACAGAGAATATAGAAGTTCAAAAATAATGGAAGTAAAATGGGTTTAATGGGGGAATGGGGTACCTGACGTAGAGAGGGTAATGAAGCTTGGGGTCTTGGGAAAGAGCGATGGCGCGAAGCTGGTCTGAGTGGTGGCGTATGAGAAAGGCCGCCAAGTCTTTGACGTGAGCGGGCTGTTCATCCGTTGCCGCCGAGTCCATGAGTAACACAGCAACTAGACTAGTGTTTAAACTATCGGCCACGAAATTGTACTGCGAACCAGAAAATTACACGGAAGATATGAAAGAAATTGCCGGATTTCAGACTCCCTCCAACTGCAAGCAACTAGCGAAGAAGACGAAGAATAAAAGGAGGAGCTGTGCCTATTTTTTGCTTTTGAATCTCTTGCCTGAAACGGTGCCCGCCAAACACTGTCCCACCCACCCGACAGAACCCAATAGCACCCAACCGAAATTGGTCGGGTCAAGTTTTTTTAAGAAACCGTAAAATCTCTATTAATTAATAAACACTCATTGTCAACCAAATTCTATGAAATTATCAGTTTAATCATCTAATTAAAACAGAACATGAATAAGAAATATGGGGCAGAAATATAATTTCACACAACGAAATTTTGCGGTTTTTTTTCAAAGACTCACCTACATGTAATCCTAACATATTTCTAATTAAAAAAATAAAAAAATTTCTCACTTCCACATTCTCTATCACTCTCTTCCTCTCTCCTTCTATTTCAAAAACAAAAATAAAAAATTTCTCACACACTTTATGTATGCCCATATGCTAGTATTCATTGAAATATTTAGATAGTTGAGGCCAAGGTGCATAGATGAGGCTCGATAAAAACTTTGCCAAGAATTTTGACCCGGTCGAATATATGGATTAAAATTTGACCACCCATTCAATTTGTGAGTTGAAATTCGACCACCTGTTCAATTTGTAGATTTGTTATTACTCAGATTGAAACACTCGACTTGAATATCAATAATTCTTAGACATTCATGTATGTAAAATCCAATTATTATTAAATCGTTGTAAGTATTGTTAATTATGTGTTGTTTACATATATGTATTTGGGTCAATATGTAATATCTTAATAATATGAATAAATATTGTGGTTTCTTCTCTTAATCTCTCTCTTTATTCCCTCTTTTTAATATTTTGTTTCGAACACATTCTCGGACTATCTCTATAGTTATTTTGTTCTATTTTAAGAGAGAATCATATACCACGATAATATTCCTAACTTGGATTGGGTAGTATTCTATTTGTAAATTACCAAGTGCATGGTGCGGATTTTTTGCTCATGCTATTATTCGTGCTCTTTTATGCACGAAAACCTACACATTTTTCTTTCTACACAATATTAGGCTGCAATATGATACATTTATACATGAATTTAAAACATACATTGATGAATCATGATATGATAATGATACGTACGATTCCTAGCAAAAAACATTAAAAAGATTTTTATTTTTCATATATACTTTGACTAGCATATGCCCCACACTTTGTGTGTGCAAATAATTTTTATTTTTATTTAAAATTAGAAGGAGAAAGAGAGAAAAAGGAATGTGGATTAGAGAGAGAACTTTTCTTTTGGCCTTTTTTTTATATTTTATTTTTCAAAATTAGAGGACGTTAGGATCATCATTGGATGAGGCTTTGAAAAAAAAAAAAACTGTAAAATTTAGTTTGTGTGAATTTACTTTATTGCCCATGATTTTGTTTTGTTGTAGAAGACGTCTTTTTACCCTCTTTTGATTGACAAAGAGAATTTTATTAATGTAGTTTTAGATTTGGATTTACACCAAATCGTTTTTGCATTTCCTAGATACCAATTTAAGTAGGGCTGGATCCGTGGCACCACTTTTTCTTCACAACTTTTGGCACAATTTTTGTGGCGCCCACTCTATAATGTATTTCAATGATTCAAACCGTCTATCTTGTAGATCTTCCCTCAAAGATCATATTTACAAAAAGCACCCAAATCTGAAACCATGTGACCTTTAGATTATGGGTTTAGTTTCTTTGTAGAACCGTATTAAGCTATTTTCTTCTCTACAAATGAGTGTCTTAATGATTTTAGATTCATGTTTTCCCCCATCTTTCCCCCATCCTTCCCATCTTTTTCTAGTCCTCCTTCCCTCTTTTCCATCGATCTCCACTCTCTACATCTTCCCTCTTCCCTCTTATTTCCTTCTAGTCCTCCTTCCCTCTTTCCCATCGATCTCCACTCTCTACATCTTCCCTCTTCCCTCTTATTTCCTTCATCCTTCGATTCCTTCCCCCCCATCCTTCCACTCAATTTTTTTTAATATCTGAACTTTTTCTCTTTAGGTCTTTGTTTTGGCTTATCTTGAGCTTTGTTCTTGAACTTTGTCAATTCCTGTGAGTTGATCTTAGATCTGGACCTTCATGGCCCTCTCATGCTCCAATGCTACTTTACATCGCGCGTCCTCAACCATCAAGCTCTACTAGTCGACCCGTGTGCTTCTCCTCTGGTGTTGGGTGGCTATTAAAGTGCTTTTATCACTATTTGGTAGGATTATAGGGGCGCTCACTGCGCGGATGACTCGCTCATCCTCATTTGTCGTTGATCCAGTTGTTCTGTTGGTTTGTTTTCTTGGTGGTGGTAGTGGTGGCCTTGCATGGAGGCTCATCTGGTGGCTGCTGGTTTTCATTCCAATATTAGGGTTTTTTTTGTTGTTGCTCAAACTAGCCACGTTTGGGCCTATTTACCAAATTTTTTTATTTATTGTTAGGCTTGTATTTAGATTGTGAGTTACCTTTTCCTTGTACTTGTCTTTTTAACTAAGGAAAGTAAATCAGTTTGAGAAAAGAAATAAAATATCAAACTTGTACTGAAAAAAAAAACTTGTCGACCCTACCACCACGTTGCGGTTGGATGGAGTTCCTTCCTTGGCTGTTAGGTGAAAGAATAGAAAAGATCCCCGCACACAGAGAGAGGGAGAGAGAAAGGCATAGCCCATACCCAATTGCCATGGGACAAACCGAAACAGAAACAATGCATTCGCATACGCAAGTATGAGCTTCTACTAGTTCTCGGAGCTCAGAAAGCGCGATAAAATGTCCATAAACGATGGAGTCGACGGAGAAAGCAGCCTACGACGGAGAACATCTCCAGTTCCGAGTACAACCAGACTGAGAGTGAGACCCGACCCTTTCTTGATCTGCTGCAGATGCTTCAGCGTCCTCACAGCTCTCACCGCCATTCTCTGCATCGTCGTCAACGTCTTCTCAGCCATTCAATCTTTCACAGATGGATCTGATGTACTTTCATTCTGTTCTATCTCTCTCTCTCTCTCTTCTCTCTCTCTCTCTCTCTCTCTCTCTTTCTCTATATATGTACATATGAATTATGCATTAGTATGGAGTTAGTTATGAATTGGGTTGTGTGTGTGTGGTGGTGAATTGCAGGTTTTCGATGGGATATTTCGGTGTTACGCCGTCGTGATTGGCATGATTGTGGTGGTGGCCGAGACGGAATGGGGATTCGTTATGAAGTTCTGGAAGGTTCGTTTTCACTTTGAAGCCCTAACTCTTTTTATGAAAATTAAATTTGAATTATTCGAAAACTAAACTGTTTAAGGCTTTGTTTGGTTACTGTCAATTGTGGGGTTTAGAGGGAATTTTATTCGAAACCTAAACTCTTTTTATGAAAATTAAGTAATTTTATTGAAATGAGTATGCTTTTATTGTCTGAGTTTCTTTCCTGTAATTCTGGAAATCTTGGAATCTGGTATTTATCAGTTACATTGATGATGGCACTCTATCTGTCACCATAACTTGTTTCAAGGAAAAAGTAAGGAGTACATATTACTCGTTTTCGCCGATACACGCTTTGGCCTGAGTTTAGAGAACATTACAAGTTCCTAAAAATTTGTTTTCCAGTCCTCGCTCTTTCATTTTTGTTGTTCTACAAGATTCAAACATACTAAGAAGACATCTCGATTAGGGATGTGCCCCTTGAACCTCAAATGCTGGTTATGAAAGGACTGATTCTTCTATTAAAAATAAAACCCTCCGAGGGAAAATACATAATGAATTTAGTCTACATCGAATAAAACTGATCTCTCAAATGGATCGTCACATATTTGCCATGGTGGGGGGCCCCTTCTCTCCAACAACTGATGGAAGGGGGTGATGGAGGACCCAAGTAGCATATAAAAGAGCTACTTTGTAAGCTTTTACAATAAGATTAAGTAAGAGAAATTCTGAGTTTCCTGCTTGTGTGTGAGGCACAGCAACCTTGGAGTGATTCCAAGGCACCTACGGTGTGAGGCTGAAGGCCGGTGTGATGCCAGAAACTTTTCTAATTTCTCTATTGGAACCCTTTGGTGTGATGCCAAAGGCCGGAGTGAGTCTGGATCTATCCAGTACATCTATCTATTTTTACTGTCCTACATCAGGGTGTTCTAAGATGCTATTATGATCCCCACACCAAAAATATCAAAGCAATAAAAATGGAAACGTCTAACAGCATAAGTGCGTAACAAACTATCTTTTTGAAACTTTATGTTTTTCCAGCTATGCATATCAGCCGTCAACACAGGCACCTGATAATCTTTGCTGCTAACTGCAGTCATGATGAATTTTGTCTCCATTTCTCGTATTCCTACTCTGTTCAGGCTAATTCAGCAATTCACTATTGAATTGTAAATCAAAGTTTATGGAAATATTGGTGCTAGCATGCCTAATTTTGCTTCCATGATCTAATTTTACTATTTGTGTTATCTGTTTGCAGATATTGGACTATTGGGCTGGTAGGGGTATGCTGCAAATCTTGTAAGTTTGCAGATGTAATAAGAAATATCATGTTTACACTCTCATAAGAGTATTTTCTCTGCACCGTCAGATTTTGGAGCACGACTGAATTCGTCCCAATCTGAATATTGCCTAGCGTTGTAACAGTATAATATTTGTAGTTATGACGGCAGAGAATATGATGGATCAACATTCAAGTTAAGCTTGCTTTAGTTTCAGAATTTGGATAGCATGTGCCTGTATTCCTGTGAAGAAAATTTTTAATTTTTTTAATTATTATTATTTTTTTTAGGGTTGTTGCATACTAACATAAATTTTACATGGTTTCTGATGTTGTGATTCTTTGTACCAGCGTCGCGGTCATGACAAGAGCTTTTCCTAACGAATCTAGTACAAAAAAGGGGCTAGTTATTCTACAGAACATAGCAAGCTATATGCTCCTTGCTTGTGGTGGGATCTATTTTATTTCGGTAGGTTTAAGTAGCAGAATCCTGTATAATTTTGGAAATTTGTGTGTGACTATGCATGTGGTTTTGTCTTTTTTCTTCTTTTAATTGGAAGAATCCAATGTTTATTTGGTTTGATGAAGCTGATTTTAACCAAAACTATGATTCTTCTTTAACTAGGACTCAGCAATGGCTCCTATTGCTAGCTGAGGCTAACGTTTGCTCTTTTAGGAACACGATTAATTCCCTGCGTGATTGGGTAATTGTTGCTAAGCAACTAACCCATTCACGACATTACTTACTTCAGGGAATTTATTTTGAGTTGGGGATTGTAAAATTCGCGGAGGGGCTATGGCTCCATTTAGGCTAGCTATAGGGTCACCCTTGTTCTCTGATTCATGAATTATGATAAAACAGCAGTAGGAGCTGGATGGGTGTTCCCTAAACTTTTATATTTTCTTTTTGGTCTGAATATATTACATCCATATGTTGAGAGTAATTGATGCAAGGGTAGTATTACATAGGGAAAAAGCACGAAAAGTTTGAAGGACCAGAGCCATTTGGCCTGCCTTTGCCGTTTGAATTATAACTTACGAGTCTATTGTACCTTTTTCCTTCCTCATTTTCAATATTTGAATTTTAAGGGAATCCTATGCATTGGCTTTCTCAAACGGGCTCGGCAGGAGACAGTAATTTCAAGGGAGCAAGCAGTAAAGGATCTTGAGGTAAGTTCTCATCATTTGTTTATCATGCTTGCTCTTCTATCTGGTTCTTACGTTGTGCTTGTCAACGTTATGTATGTTTATCCTATCACGGAAGCTTCCTTACATTCATTCACCTGTTTGCAACATCACAGGACTTGGAGCGGCGAAGGGAAGAACTCGAACAATTGCTTATTGAGGAAAGAGATTAGAAATAGATTGTACTGTACGTAGTCAGAAAGTGACACGGGTGCATCTTACTCATGTTTACATCTCTGATTCTGTTTGTGAGTTGCATTTGAATTAGTATATTCTTTGTTTGTTTAGTTTGTGTGAAAGGCATGTTGGGTGCCTCTTGATTGTGTCCAGCAAGTATTTGCCAATGTAATGTACCGAAGAAAAGAAATGCTAGTCATTTGTGAAGACAAGGGACTCGGTCCATACGCAATCCATGATTTTTATTTTTTATTTTTTCGGTCATTGTCAAACGTCATATGCAAATGTTAATTATTTTGTTAATGAAGAAATAAAGTCCACAACAACAATAATAACAACAAAGCCTAATTCCACTAAGTAGAGTTAACTATATAAATCCTAGAGCGTCATTGCGTTTCAATTTTGTGCCATGTCTTCTATTAATCTAAGTAATCCAAGTCTTTTATTAGAATCTCTTTTCAAGTCTTCATAGGTTTCATGTACTCCTTTGGCCTAAGCCTTTATCTTGTAATTACATCTTCTAACCGAAGCGAGTGTAAGTCTTCGTTTCACAAATTCAAACCATCTTAACCGGAGCATCTGAAGAAATAAATTCCAATGAAAAAAAAAAAAAATTACTTTCCGAATATAATATGTAAAGATGTCAAAGAGGAAAGTAAAGGAAAATTCTGAACGCTGTGTGGGAAAAGAAATAAAAAGCGAAATTTCCCATTTTGGCCCTGAAATCAAATTTTTGAGACCATTCGAATCGAACAAAAGAGCATTGCTTCCCGCTCAACTCAAAGATTTAAATCCCACAGGCACTGTGCCACACATACAATTCCAGTCTCCAGATTCGAAACAGAAACCCAACCCCCTCATTCCTTCCAGGTATTTCTCCCTTTTCTTTTAATTTCTTGCTTATTTTTTTATAAATCCACTTCCAAGGTCATACTTTTGCTGTTCTAGGATTTCTTCTTGCCCAAATCTTTCCCAAACCAAATTTGAATCTACAAAATCTCGAGTTTTGACTATCGTCTAGTTCTAGATTCGTTACCTGGTTCTCCGATTCGGTGAAAATTCCTGCTACTCAGACAAGTGTATTGATAAGAAACCCTAATTTGGGTTTGCTCTGTTGCCCTATTTCTTGATTAGTGTTGGGAGAATCAGGTTCGTGTTTGTGTTCTTCATCTGGTTTGTCTATTTCCTGTAGATACTTGCAAGTTTTTTGATCAGTTAAATTCGGAAAATCTGATCGAATTTATGGCTGGATATGCCTGTTTCAAAACTGAATAAGGAGCCCCATTCCATTCACTGTTAGCAGCAGCAGATTCGACTTTCTATAAGTAGATAGCAATGGAGTCATAACCATACTATACCCAATTTTGGACATAAACTAGTGTATGTTTCGGTGTCAAGGATGTCAACTCGCGAGCAGAACTTGCAAGGAAACAATGCCCATGAATCATGTACTCATAAAACTAATCCCATATTCTGTGGATGTGGGATTGCGAAAAGGCACATAATACTCATGGAACTCGTAGATCTTAAATACTTCAAAACTCGTTTTTTCTTCTCATGGATCTGTCTATGTGGTTGGTTGTTTTCAGTTTTCAATATGAAAATGCTCACGTTAACATGTTTCTTTGTGCTTCAGATCTTTACTGCATTAGAGCCGCTCACAAGTTGAGGATCAAGGGAAATGGAGGACGTATATAAAGAACTAGATGAAGTTAAAACAGAGGTGGACAGGCTTAAGGCTGAAGTCCGGGTTAAGACAGAACTTTCTGATGTTCTGAAGAAAGCTAACAATGAGCAGTTGATCAAGCTTCAAGAAGCTAAGCGGGAGAATGAGAAACAAGCTCAAGAACTAAATGTCAGGCTTGAGGAAATTTCTCAATCAAGGCAGGCTTCTGAAACCCTCCAGTCTTGTTTGCTTGAAAAAGAATCGTCGCTTAGGCATTTGACTTCTTTGCATGAAAAACTCCGAGCTGATAGTGAGAAGAAACTGCAAAAAATGGAAGAGGAAAATAGAGAGTTAGTATCTGCCTTAGATGAAGCTACTGAGAGAAACAAAGAGTTGGAACAGAATTTTGGTGCCAGTACTAAAGAGATTGAGGGCCTTAAAAGACTCTTATCGACTACAGAGAGGAAGGGTTTCGAGGCAGAGCAGAAGGCTCGAGAAGCCAAAGAACTGAGGCAGAGAGATGACATCATAATGGGGTTAGAGGAGGAAAATAGAAATACTCAAGATCAGTTGAAATGGAAGAAAGAACAGTTTAGACATCTTGAAGAAGCACATAGACGGCTCCAAGCTGAGTTCCAGTTGAATAAAGAGGAGTGGGAGAGGGACAAATCAGCACTGCTTGAAGAGATCTCTTTGCTGCAGACAAGCTTGGATTCCCAAACAAGAATTCTTGAAGGTGTTCAAAAACTTTTGGAGATGTGCAACCAAGCTTTAGCTCATGAAGAAAGCAGAAGGAAGTTTTTGGAGGTTGAAGTGTCTGAATTCAAATCACGTTATGAGAATGTATTTGCCCGGTGTGAAGAAGAAAGGTCAAAGTTCGATAGCTTGGCTGTTCAAAGGGATGAAGAGATTGCTAAGCTAAGAAACTCACTGTCAACAAAAGAAGCACTCTCCAAAGAAACGGAATTTAGAATTGTTCACCTTGAGCAAGAGAATCGGGAATTGAGAGACTCTGTAAAAGAACTGCAGGAAGCTCAAATCAGAAATTGTGCCCCAGCTGCTCTAACAAAGCTGCGCAACAAGCTTAGGGGCTTGGAGCAGGTACATAGCAACTGTTTGACCAATCTGAAAGCAAAAGAATCTGAATTGAGCCTCCAAATAGAGAAGATGAAAGGAGATGTAAACAGGCACAACTCTGAATTGAAGGGTAGAGAGAAGCAAATAGAGGAGCTTCAGATGGAGCTAGAAAGCTGCCATTCATTGATTGACGTTTTAAATGAAGAGATTTCAGTAGTACTTGTGATCTTTAAATCAGAACTCTCAGAGGCTTACTCCAACAAATCTGATGCAAAAACTGAAACAGAGCTCTGTGACAGAATGGATGACGAGATCTCTCTACTTCAAACACAGTTGGAGATGAGGAACAGTGATTTACGAAATGCTCACCTTAAGCTAGGACAAGAACACGAGAAAGCAGAGATATTGATGAAGAGGGTAAGGTCCTTGGAACTAGCTGAGCAGCGTCAGGTTATCATGGAGGAAGAGATTCAACGACATAAAAGATGCTTGAGGAATCATCTGTGCATCAACTTTACATGAAAGAACAGTTTGTACAGATGGAAGGGGAGAAAGGAGAAGTTTCTTTGGCTTTAGAAAAGGCAAACCTTGAATTGGCTGAGAAAATTTGTGAAGCTAATCATTTAGAATTCGAATTACAGAATTGGAAGTCTAGTGCTGAAAGCTTGAAACTGTGCTGTAAAGAAAATCAAGAAAAATGTAGACAAATGGAGAATTCACTTCTTGCACAAGCTGAGAATGAAGAAACCCTTAAGCACGAGAAAGACATGCTTATCACCATTATCAAAGAGAAAATTAATAAAACTGAAGTTCTGCAGCAGAAGATTGTCCTTCTAGAAGCTACAGTTGCATCAAAGAACGAGGAAGTGGAATTTTTCACACAAAACACTGAGTACCTTATAAGCAATGCCAAGGAGAAGGATAGCTGTATAGAAAATCTCCAAAATGATATCACGCAGATGGAGCAGGAGGCCATGAGAAGAGAGGTAGAAGCAGCAATTCTTGCAAGCATAGATACAGAGAAATATGTTGGACTAGAGAAAGACAGGCTTTTCAAGGTTATGAATGAGAAAGGTGAGAACATAAAAGTTCTCCAAGTATTGGCTGTCGTCATTAGAGCAAGACTTGACAAGTGCATTTATATCGTCCTTCTCAGAAGTTGTAGAAAATCTGGTTACAGTTGAAAAGCTTACTGAAGATTTGAAGAAGGCCAAACATATGAAAGAGCTAGAGATTGAAGAGAAGAACAAGAGAATTGTTGATTTGGAGAAGGAAGTATCTGGTTTGCGGAAAAGTTTGACAAATCAGGAGGAAGCCTTGTTTACTGAAAAGCAACAAGCAGATGAACTTCAAGCATTATTGGAAGTCAACAAACTGGAAAATGGTAAACTGATGGGTGAACAGAGGAGGACTGGAAGGCATAGTCAAGCAGCTTGAGTTCGAAAAACGCGTTGTCTTTCAAGACACCACAAGTCTATCAAAAGATAGGGAGGAAGTTTTTGTTCACTTTGAAGAAATATGTGAACGTATGGGTGACTTCACTTGTGAGGATGTGGAGATGATGAATCTTTTGGATACAATGTTACAAAGGTGCAAGGAAGAGGTGAAACCAGCAACTAATTTGAAAGTGGATAATGAGCTCTATGATTCTACCTATGAGAATGCAAACAATTCTATTTCGGCGTCAGCAAGAAAACTTGAAGCGTATAGTACTGGAAGATCACCACTGAAAGATGTGAATCAGCGGCAGTTGTAACTAATACAAGAGATACAAGTTTTCACTGAAGAATATGACACAAGGTAATTCAAAACCCATGCCTTTTTTTCAGATGTCATCATCTACTTCTTAATTTTCAGTAGAGTTATCAAATAAGTTATTAGCTTATTATATACTGGAAAATTTAATGCATATGTGAATCGTTCTTTTACACAACCTCCCACTTACTGAGATATTAGCCATATGATGCATGTTCTGTAATCGGCTAATGGGTCAAGGGCAGGATGAAAAATTCTGCGCTTTAAAGGTTATGCTTTGGAGTTAAGAGGGCTGTTTCAGAACTTGTTTTGTTAAGTGCTCCAATGTTGTGAAACACTTAGCAAATTTGCTGAACACGAAACTTCTGTATGCAATAGCGAATTGCTAGATGTAGGATGCATATTGTATAAAGGTATTATCCTCATCCGCTGATCATGCTGAGCGCGTAACAAAGTCGAATGCAATCAATTGTTGAGTTCGTTGATAATTGTTATGGTCTATAGAAAAAGATTCTCGTGCATTCAATATTTGTGGGAAAAATTTGACTGTAATGTTTTCCGTTTGCGTAGAGTAGCCAGAATCGAAGGAATGTACTCCGAATGGGAATGGGCTTGAGACATCGTCGAGCTATCGAGCTTGAACCAGTTAGCAAATGGCAAGGCCAAACAAATATTTTGTAGTTTCTGCTGTGTGTTGTTGTATGAGTTACCACAAACCTCGTTTCTGGTCTTTCACTTTTCTTTTCTCTTTTCC